CTATCTGTGCTACCATTATCCAGTGTGCCAATCCAATTTCATGGGATTCAAAATGTTTTCTAGAGTTATAGTGTGAGCCTATTTTTAAAACTTCACAAGCAACAAAGGCTTCTGCCAATTATCTCACATTTGAAAGGAAATGCCACCTTGAAAAATAACTTGTAGTATACAGAAATATTTATATCCCCGTTTACCCAGTAATGAGTTGATGAATAGCTTTACAGAGTCACATCTTACATCTTTTTGGGATGCTTATTTAAAAAAAACCAACCTATGAAGAGTTACAGTAAATAGCCTCTTAAAAGCGTGCAATGACAAAATAGTACAACTGAACTATAATAAATATTTTACATTAAATAGCTAAAATGCATAAATGGAATGTTAAGAACCTTGACAGCAATTCTATTTTAGATTATGTCTATTTGGAGGCCAATTAACCTAGATTACTTATTTATGAAAGGAAACCATGTCCCTTTTCTGCAGTTCTTATCAGGATGAAGCAGCTAAAAATACACAGAACATTTCACAGACCAAGCAGTTCTGATTGCTATGACAAGGTGACCACAGATTCAGTTAAGAAAGACATTGACACAGTTTGCATGTAATGCTAAGCCAACCCATGGCTAAAGACTAATGTGTAAGCATATATGTATTCACAGCAAAGATGGCAGGGCAGCAACTTCACTCCTCTGGTCATCCTACTGCCATGCTTCCTGGAGCAAAGCCATGGTCTGGCATGGAGTCACATCCAAATCAAGGCTCATGGTGGTTTGCGTTCCCCAGACAAACCATGAGCTGTAAGTCCCATCCCCCCCCGCCCCCGCCCCCAAACAAACCATTAGCTACAGCTTATGGTTTATCTGGAGCAAGACAAATCACAAGCCCAGGTTCAGATGTAATGCTAAGCCAAACCATGGTTAAGCTCCAGGCAGTGTGGCAGCAGGCAAAGCAGGCACCCAAATGAGGCAGGGTAAAGCAGCTGCCTCAGGTGGCAGAAATGCAAGAGGCAGCACCCAGCCTGCCCCACTGCTTCTGCTACCCCTGGAACACCCCACTCTCGCCTAGTTTCGGAGAGAGTGGGGAGTTCCACCACTCTGCTTTGCTGCTGGTCTCTCTCTGCCCCTGGGGGCAGAAGGAGGCCCGCGGGAAAGTTCTCTGCAGGGCAGGGAGTCTCAGCAAGGGGGAAAATCCCTTCCTACATCCCACCACCACCACCAGTGGAGTGGAAAGAGAAAAAGCCCTTACAGAGCCTCATGCATACACACCCCAAATGTGGGGGGTGGCAGCAGGGCATTTAGTCTCAATCACCAAAATGCTTTGGGCTGCCCCTGGAAGCAGGAGGACCAGAGGAGGTATGAAGCAGCTGCAATTTTTGCTACAAGTAGTCACAGGCTCACACATTCATGTTTAACCATGGTTTGGCTTAGTGTTATTCGCAAACCAGGCCATTAGCCAGTTGTGGATACTCAAATGAGGAAGTGAAAGTTATCTGAGCCAAATTCAGAGGTACTCCTCCCAAGAAGCAAGGTACAGAAGATACAGTCCTTGGAAAGGCTCTGAAACCCAACAACAGTATTATGTAACTGAAATTAAACAATAATGTATGTTCATTGCTACTGTTCAGGCATTGGGAGTTGCCTAGTTACACCACACCACTTGCTAAATTGCGTTTTCTATAAGCTGGTTCCACCCAGCATAATGTAAGTTATATACTTGCTATCAGTATAAGCCTGCAAGGTAGTTAATTACAAAGATAGGACATTTTTGTACTTGCACATGAGGCAACATGGTTATATATTAAGATTCCATTTCACATAGTTTAAGGCCATGGCGCAGGAAGCTAACTGAAACTGGATATGGCTCTCTTCTCCTTGAGGAAAGAGCATACCTGCTTCTCAGGTCCCCCATATGTTTCACCTGAATAATTTATTCTCTACCCTGAATAGCTATTTAGGTTTGGTGACAGTGGTAGCTACTGCTTTCACCCTAGAAGTGGGTAGAAGCAACTCTGGATAGCCACTGTGTCAAGCATTTTGGGATTCTTTGTGACAAGAAGAACTATTAAAGGGTAAGTTAATTCCATTACTACCAGGAACCTAGACCAGTGTTTCCCAACCTTTTTTGGGCAAAGGCACACTTGTTTCATGAAAAAAATCTCGAGGCACACCACCATTACAGCCCCGTGACGTCAGCGCGCAGCGTCACGCCGGGAGGGACATGAATTGCTAGCAAATTACATAATCACCTCCTTGAAGGCTGGCTCATCTTCTCCGAAGGCAGAACCCCATTAATTAACAGCACAGACTCACACCATAGCCAAGACGAGGGGGAAAACCTCAGTCATGCACAGTCATGCACATGTGGGGGCTAAATGAGGACGAAGACCGGGCAGAGAGCAGGGTTCAAATCACCCCACCTGGCCAGGACAATCCCTGGGTGCTCCCTTGGGCCACTCGCCTGACCCACCTCGCAGGGCTGTTGTTGCGAGGATAACACGGGGAGAACCACGCGCGCCCCCGGGAGCTCCTTGGAGGAGAAAGCGGGCGATGAATGCAATGCACGAAATATATGAGAGGCGACCAGGTTTTGCAGGTGAGGGGCCCCCGCCAGCCTCCGCTTCCAACACCCGGCGCAACGACGCCGAAGTTTCCCCCCCGGGCTCAGCTCGGGGAGCAGCGCTGCTCCCCCCGGCTCCCCTTCGCCCTCCCGGCTCTCTCTGCCGCCCACTGGGGACCCCCCTCACCTGCCAAGTCCGGAGCGCCGGTGGAAGTTGCATGCATGCATGCAGGGCGCCGCGTTGCCATTGCATTGCACTGCACTCCATGCAACGCCTGCACGCATGCATTGCCTTGCACGCCCGCCAAGGGGTCTCCCCGCGGTCCGATGCGTCCCCTCCGGCGCGGATGCAGCATTGCAAAAATAAAAAACCCCCGACACAGCCCTACCTGGGGGGCAGCCTCTGCCGCTCCGCCTCCGCGGGGATCCCCGGGCTCCATCCTGCTGCCCGATCTCCGGGGGGCGCAGGCAGGCTGTGCGGGGTCTGCGCGGAAGAGCCCCTGCCCGCCCGGCCGCTGCCGCTGCGCTCATTCCATGGCCGGGAGAAGAGCGCTTCAAACAAAACGCCCGGCCCGCCAGGCCACGCTGGGAAACGTAGTTTGCGCACCCCACACGGGCGCGGAGCCCAAGGGCGAGGGGACTACGGATCCCGGCAGCCCCCGTGCCGGGGACGGAGGGGGAGAGGTCGGGTGCAGGGATGGAGGGACGGGTGGGCGAGCGAGTGAGTGAGTGGCGCAGGAGGGAGGGAGGGAACCCCAGGGGTCATCTAGTGACGGCGCCCCAATCGAAAATTTGACTTAAAAAATCTTTCAATTTTTTAATTTTTCCCGCGGCACACCAGGCAACATCTCGCGGCACACTAGTGTGCCGCGGAACAGTGGTTGGGAAACACTGACCTAGACAATAGAAGAAATTTACTTTCCAGGAAGGCCATAAATCTGCTCTAGCCATGCCAAGGCCTGTGATGAACTAGAGCAAAAGCCTTGGACAAAGTAGATAAATAAGGGAGCCTGACACATAAAACCCCGAGACATGTAAGTTAAGATTATTGCTTAAGCACTGACACTAAACAAGACAAATGTATTGCTTAGCATGCTGCTTCTAGGAGGTTGTACATTAATATATTTCAGGTATGTTTTGATTCAAACCATTTTCAGAACAGAAGAATGGTTATTTATGTGACTTCGTCAATTCCTCAAGCTGTACCATTTTCAGCTGATAGAAGCATTGTTCATTTTGTCAGACAGCAGACATTTATTAATTTATTCTCTACATCCCGAGTAGGTAGTATGTGTACCCACTAAGATGTTTCTGACAAAATTTTCAATGTCAAAGTGTCATTGTCAGAATTTACAAGATTTCAGCAGTGAATTTGGACTAGGAGTATCATCCATTCTGCATAATGCACAGATTAACTGGAGTCTGCAGGAACACAAAATGCTCATTGACAACAGATAATTTTGTCATCACATATGCCAGAGTTTAAAAGATTTCGAATCAGCTCCAAGTCTGAACACTGGGGAGTCAGGCCACTTCTATATCCCTAAATACTAATTACCATTGTTGAGGCCTCAGCCTGCTCTTGGGACTGGTTGTTCCTAGGAACGCTTGAGCCAATCCATATAATGGGAAATATAGTTACCACAGTCAAAGAGGCTACCCATATCACCAGGCCTAGGAGCAGAGATGGAACATGGGAACTACCTTTCCCATAATTCCAAGAGTCATTGAAAAGAAGTTAATTATGGAGTGGAACCAGTGCATTTGGCCTGTCCCAAGTTAAATGGACCTTAAACTTCAATTCAGGGGCAAATTCTGCACCATCTTGTTCTGTAGGTGTATCACAATATAGAGGAACCACAATGAAACAACACTGAGTGGCATCTTCATCCAAACAAAAATTCATCACTTCTGTAACTTATATGCTTAGCTCACTTTTCCCACCAGCTTACCAGACAGACAGTACATACACAGCTCTAGGGCTAGGTCAGTTGGTTACCTTGTACTCCAACAAAACCCCTAATATTCAAAGGACTCTTGTACATTATACCTATGGTATAACAGGATTGCGCAAGACTGTAAAATATCATACTGAGGAAAATAGGCAAACAGGGTAGGTGCATTTTACCTATCTTCAGATAAGGCTTCAATTTTAAATCACATTTTAAAAGTGTTACTAATCAGAAGCCACTTCAGAAAGCAATGCTGGAAAACATGGCCTGTTTTTTAAGTGGTATTATGCCAAGGCCATTAAGCACACACAAATGTTTTACTGACGGCTTCCACTTGAAGCAAAAGAAAAAGGAGGTCCAGAGTCTGGACAAACTAACAAATAGAAGGGGGAAGTAACTGCTTTAGCTATTCTATAAATACTTGAACTTCATACTTTGTGCAAGTATGTCAGCCTAATTATTTATTGCAGGAAAAGAGTAATCCAAGTTTACCTTTCAGTGAATCACTTTCAGCTCTCATTATGTCAATTAGCGAGTTCTCCAGTGAATGCATGTCAAAAGTTCTCGTGCGATCCTGCAAGTAAAACACAAATACCAGTTTAAAGAGAATGCTACTAAGAACTACCCAGAAACCTTTTCAAATCAGATTTTTTTTTTAGCAGCAATTTAATAAAATACTCCAAATCAGCTTATATTGATTAGAGTAAAGCAAACTATTAATGGTTTGGAGAACAGTTTGTAAGCACTGGAGGCTGCAGCATTTACTGAAGTTAAGTGGGTATACACCGAATCAGTCCCTTGGAGCACAATAATTTTGAAACAAAAGTACTGTTACTTCAAGTTAGGAAGTCAAGGTTATCTGAACCTAATTCAGAGGTACTCCTACCAAGAAACGAGATACTGTACAGAATATATAATGTCTGCATCATTTGAGTAAATATTTTTCATATGTGGCATAAAAATTGCTTTAACACAATTTAGTTTGATTTAATATTTGCATGCCACTTTTGCAATGAGGTTGAGCTCAAAATGCTCACAATAACGAAGCATTAAAAACAAGTGAACAGCATTTTGATCAATACAATCATATCAAATACACAATAAGTAAGGCAAAATCAGTTCTACAAATAATGCAGTTCAAAACAACTTCATATTAAAAAAAAATATCCACAAAGATTTTTTTTCAGTATTTAAGGCAAAACAAGACCTAGTGAAAAGCATTTCAGAATTCACTGTCACTAAATGATGACCTTAAATATGTTGTGTGTTTTAGACAACACTTTCTCTCATATAAAATCACACTACTTTTAGGGATCTCCAATAGGCTACCTTTCCATGGATAATTAGATACGTGTACCCAAAATGGGGATTTTCCAGTGTAGTATGGCAGCTCTGGAATACTTTTTTTGGGAGGCCTCCAAGGCTACATCATATGGTGTTAACTGTCAACTGAACACTTACTTATTTTAGAATACATTTTAGTTCTCAAGTCTCAACATGGATAGTTTTGCTGTCACTGTATGTAATTATATTGATATCTTGCATTGATTTTTTGCTGTGTGTTTTGTTAGGTTGTTGTAAACTACCTTAAGCACATTCGGGATGGAAATGCAGTTTAAATATCCAAAATATATTGAAGCAAATTTAAGACAGTCAAGAGCTACCACCAGTCCTGTTTGGAAAGTAGAATCACAATATGTGAATAATAAACAAAATAATAAAAATATAACCCTATCTGATGCAAGGCCATGTTTGCCAAATTTCATCAGCTTGACACGTCAAATGCTGATTTAAAACCACAGACTTCAAGCCTCAGCAAAAGTAGTTTCATAAAACAATTATATTTAGTTCTTTATGCAATTAGAGTAAAACATAACTAGTTATGCATTTCCAAACACTCATATTGATATAAACGAAGTGGTGAAATAGTCCAAGTGGGAAACATTCTCATTGAGCTAAATTTTTATTCTCCTACATTTCTTATCTTTTTCTTTTATTTTTTTACTCTACTGATAGGATTGAGGCTTGTACCCCCCCCCCGCATGTTATACAAAGGTATAAATAATTCTTTTAAAATCTGAAGCATTTTTAAATATTACAAACAACTTTTTATGACCATAATCTCAAAACCATCCTCTTAGCATTTAAAGCCCAAAGAGCTCATCTATTTACTTGAAATGCAGCAGTGCAGTACATAATGTCATTTGCTCTGTGCTATACAGTTATCAGTAGTTTCTGGTCAGATGCAGTTCAATAAAAACTGCAAGTCTTGGAATTCTACTTACTTCAAATATTGGTATTCCACATTACCTAGTGTTCCAGATAACAAGAGTACACTGCATATGTTGAAATTCCATTCAGTGTAGTGAGACCAACATTGGAATTTACATAGATATTTAACTGAGGCACAATGACTTGCAGTGAAGACATTACCATGTTGTCATCTGTAACACACTTCCCAAGTATTTCTCACATACAATAGCCAAAACTTAGCACATACTTTCATAGTTCACTCTTGACCAAAACAACAAATACCCAACTAAACAGAAAGTTCAACGTTGTGTCAATCTGGAGGAGGTAGAGCACTCTGGAGGAGCCAGCTACTGGTGCTGCAAAGTGCAGCATGCATGACATCGCATGCATGTGACATGCACCAGGCTCCCTCAACAATATCCAACAAAGAGTTGGCGTGCCTGCTAAGATGTGCTCACTGTTTTATATTTCAAATTTCTCATTGTTGTTTTAATGGGTATAACATTAGTCCCAGATAGTCTATTTAAACTCACCTACCTAAAAAAATAATTTTAAAAAATGTTTCTGCCCTAAAAGAAAGTACAGTTATTGTGAACTTACTCGGGACATGGGATTAGCAACAAGGCTTTGTTTAACTATGCACACGAGCCTGCTTGCAGTTCTTTGCTCCCTAACCTTGAGGTCAAGCTGTAATTTTCCAAAGTCAGTAGAGACATGCCAAGTTAAATACCAGCTCATCTCTTACACCCATTTTCAAGAGGCCAGGTATGTAATAAAAGCATGGCAATCCAATAGTAGAATTATATTTTTAAAATATAATTCTCCATCAAAACTTGCTTTACTCCCCAACAAGGGAAAAGATGAAAAGTAAATTGTTAAGACAATGCTTGAAGCAACAGACCTTGTTGATGCTGAGCTTTGCTAGTATACACAGTTTTCGAGTTTAAAATGCATATCCTTCTCAATTTCTTACCACCTTATTTCCTTACTGTCTCCCTAGGATCAGATGAAAATGAGAAAGGTCTATGTATCTGCGCACTGATGACTATATAGCCCAGATCTCAAAACTGGAGATTTCCAGCTTCAGCTTCAACTGTGTCCGTTCACCCAGAGCTTTTATGTAGATCCTTAAGCAGAACAAGGAAAGAACCCTGCAGGCAACTCGCCACAGGGAGGAACAGTAGCTGCCCCAGCATCATTTTCTGAGCCCTGTCTCAGAAGGAATAAGCAGAGCCTACTTAACAGTGCACCCAAGCCCTACCCCCTTGGTCAATGGTACTGATTGTGACTGAAAAGTCCAGAGGAACCAACAGGAACACAGTCCACCTTCCATCTTCTGATGTAAATAATCCACAAAAGTGATAAAGGCTGTTTCCAGTCCCAAAGCAGGCTGAAACCCCAGACTGAAATAGCTTACCTTAAAGTAATAAGAATTTATCTTATTTTATACACACATTCTTTTGCTCTCATCTCATAGAAACAGCTTCCAGAAGTAATACAATATTTCAGGTTATCTAGAGAGATTAACTTGTGTTTTGCAAGTTAATCACTGGGCCCTTTATGGGCAAGTTCAATGATGCCAAAGTTTTTTTTAAAGCCATAGAAGAAACATGCACACAGGACAATATACTGCAATTGCGTATAAGGAAAGTTTTGGGAAAGTCCAATGGTGAATAGAGCTAAACATATTTTCAGCATTACAGGATCCTAACAGACCTACAAGGAGATCATTTCCTTTAGATATGTTCATACTTAAAAGTGAATTCATAGCTGGAAAGCAAGCCAATGGAACATCAACGCTTATATTCCCATTAGAGAAGGTAATGTGGCTTAGTGTACAATTTTGGACTTTGACTAGATTGTGATCAGCATGTTCTAAAGTCAGAAAGAAGGAACAAAAGGAAGTCAAAAACTTGTGAAAAATAGAGGAGAGCTCTATTGGTCCCTAATACCTGTCACTCAAATGGAGGAGCCTACACAGCTTCCATCTTCTCAACCAGGAAAGATAACCTTAGTTCACCCATGGTAAAAAAAAAAAAAAAGGCAACAAGTTATCTCACAAAACAACAAAGAGAGACTATAAAAGCATGGTCCACATTCCAAGGCAATGCATAATTTTTAAGAACATTTTTTAAATGTTCATTTTCCACTTTAGTTAGAACGCTACTTACTCTTATCATTTATGCTAAGTACGGTGGAGCACTCATGGGTTCTGCTATGGGTCAGCAGAGCTCATGGCTGAGACAGACATTATCCTCCCATTTAATATAAGCAGGGTACTGACAATACTATTCAAACTGACAGCACTTGCAAGTTTCTGCACCAGCCAAAACTCACGTGATTGCGTAAAAAAATACCCATTTAATTTTGAACATCAAGCATTAGAACAGAACATTAAGGAAAGGTTTGAAACTCTTTGGAATTAGTCATCCAGTTGTCATAATTAATGAGTTGTGAGCATCAAGTAGGTGTGATGCCAGTTTTAGACCTGCCACATCTTGCAACAGTATCTGCATTCATGTATCAAGAAAAGTTATAAAGACATTCAAGTCACTGTGTAAAAACACAGGGAGATCCAGGAAAGCATAGCTTTGACAAGTGAGCATTTTTTACATCCTGTTTCAGCAGACATATACTTAAAAACCAATGAGAGTCTGACCATTCTTAGGAGATACAAGAAATTCCTATGAGATGAACTCAGCAGCCTTTCACCAAACCTAACTTACATATGGATACAATGACTGGGTAGGAAGATAGGTGCTGTGCAGGTTCCCTCTACATGACTTACAGGAACTAATAGGGCACTGTCTATTTTTACAGACTTTTGACTTCACACTGTTGCTTCTTATTTACTTTAAAGCACATAATCTCATCATATTCTGAACTATTCTGCCACCTCCCACCTCTAGGAAGATCTCAACCTATTTTCTTTTCTTGTCAAAGGGAGGCTGACACGTCTATAGTTACTGGTATTCTTCCATAACAATTTCTTAACATTCTGTATAGACAGATCACTTCACATCTTTCCAGGAGGATTCTTCATATTTAATTAATATCTTGAAATTTAAGACAGGATAGCTTTATAGGAAAAATGCATTAAGCTGCCATATGCAGTTCTGAAATAAAACATGCCTTATGGCCAAGAAGAAATAAAATATAGTATGTCCCTGCTACCCAATTCAAGAAAAGTTGCTTCACACTTGCAAAGGATGGGTCCATCCATATGCAGAGTGGGTGGTCATGCTTTCTGCTAGTTCAGAAGGAGTATGTCTGAAGACATCTGATAAGCATGCAACTAGGAGCCTAAAACTTGTCCATACT